CAAACATAAAGGTTTGGGCAGAAACCACAAAGTGATGGAAATGGAGTGAAAATAGCCTCATGCTATCTACTGCCCAGGGGCCCTGGTGGTGCAGTGGTTAGAGTGCTCGGCTGCTAACCAAAAAGTTCGGCAGTTCAAACCCACCAGCCGCCCCAAGGGAGAAAGATGTGGCAGTCTGCTTCCGTACAGATTTACAGCCTTGGAAACCCTATGGGTGCAGTTCTACTCTGTCCTATCAGGTTGCTATGAGTCAGAATTGACTCAACAGCAACAGGTTTTTATATATTGCCTAGGAGCCCTAGTGGTACAGTGGTTAAAGTTCTCTGCTGCTAACCAAAAGGTCAGCAGTTTGAACCCACCAGCCACTCCACGGGAGAAAGATGTGGCAGTCTGCTTCCCTGAAGATTTACAGCCTTGGAAACCCTATGGGGCAGTTCTACCCTGTCCTGTAGGGTCGCTATGAGTTGAAATCGATTCGACAGCAATGGGTTTGGATTTGGTTTTATATATTGCCTGAACAGCAAGCCTTAAGGGGCATACCAGTTGACTAAGAGTGCTTTGATAACAAATTGGATCTTGGTAAGCAATCGTGATGTGATGAAAAAAGTGCTGAACCAAGAGACAAATTATTGGGGCTTCTGTTTCTTCATTGCAAAATAAAGAAAATAGGCTAAAGTATTTGTGATGGGGTTTTAAGCTCTGAAAGTCTGTAATTTGTTGATTTTACCTTTACTACTTGTGGAGAGGTAATAGAGCAGCGTGACTAAAAGCATAAACTATCATCTGACTGGGTTCAAATACCAGCACCTCCACTTACGGCCTTGGTAAGTTTTTTAACCTTCCATGCCTCGGTTTCCTCAGCTATAAAATGGATCTGACAACAATAGTACTTCCCTCAGAGAGCTGCCATAAGGATTAAATGAGTAAATACACATAAAAAGCAGTCAGATAGTGGCTAGTGTAGGGTAAGCACTGTATGAAGAATAGCTGTCATTATTGATCTTTTTAATTAGAACTGAAAGATACAAGGGAAGGTCAATCTGCAACAGGGAAAAGTCAGATTGACTCAAGAAATGCACCGCTGTTTGTAAGTGCAGGTTGTTGCGTTGCGGTTTGTGTGACATCGAGTCGATTCCAACTCACAGCCACCCTACGTGACAGAGTAGAACTGCCCCGTAGGGTTTCCTAGGCTATAACTCTTTATGGAAGGAGATCACCAGGTGTTTTCTCCCTCGAAGCTGATGGTGCTAACCTTTCAGTTAGCAGCTGAGCGCTTAACCATTGTGCCAGCAGGGCTCCTTTTATAAGTGCATAAAGTAATTCAAATTAACTGCTAACAAAGTGTTGACCAAGGAGAGGCCTTGCAGGCTTTTGTTAATAACTAGGTAGAGTCACCTGTAGTTAGCATGTTGGTAATTTATACGCAAATAGAAGGTGATAAAGTTAACGAAAATACTTTGTTCTCTTAAGTAGATTAAACATTCAACCAACCAACCAGTTGCCATACATAGAGTGGACTCTGACTCATGGTGACCCCGTGTGTGTCAGAGTAGAACTGTGCTCCATAGAATTTTCAGTGGCTGATATTTCGGAAGTAGATCACCAGGCCTTTCTTCCAAGGCATCTCTGGGTGGACTCAAACCTCCAACCCTTCAGTTAGCAACACCCAGGTACTCCAGATTAAAAATAGCCTCTCATTATCTTGTTTATGAAATTATAACAGGCAGGTAGGGCCTGCCAAGGACAGACTTTGCTGACTTTATAATTGTGCCCACATGAAAAAATTGGCACAGAGCGTCATTCAACTGTGGGCGGCATTAAATGAAGTACAATGCGGTGATTTAAGGCGGGGATGGTCCTACTGCATTGTGCCCTGTGGACCTCTTCTGGACTGCATTTATTTAGCTCGCAGCATCCTGTTTTAATACAAACCTGGCAAAATGAGGCATGGCCACTAGAGGGTGAGCCGATGATAAAGGTTCTGGAGTGGATGGACAAATTGAAGGTGTTTACCTGGAGAATAAATGGCAAGAGACATGACAGTGGCCTCCAGATATGAGATTTAATCTATAAAGCTCCAGAAGCCAGAACCATGACCAACTGGTAGCTATTTCAGGAGGGCTGATATTCTTTTTTTTAAGTAAACTCTTAATGGAACTACAACACACATACAGAAAAATACAAAGCATACATGTACAGCTTGAAGAATTTTCACAAAGCGAACACACTAAATAACCACCATCCAATTCAAGAAACTGGTGCCCTGGTGGCACGTGGTTAAGAACTCTGCTGCTAACTGAAAGGTCGGCGGTTTGAACCCACCAGGCGCTCCTTGGGAGGAAGATGTGGCAGTCTGCTTCTGAAAAGATTCCCAGCCTTGGAAACCCTGCCGGGCAGTTCTACTCATACGGTTGCTATGAGTCGGAATCAACTCGATGGCAGTGGGTAATTCAAGAAACACACTGTTAGCACCAAGAAGGCTCCTCGCCCCCCCATTGCGGTCACTCTCCCCCAAGGGTACTCACTCACCTGATTTCTAACACCTAAAGTTAGCTTTTAGCTTTGCCTGCTTTTGAGCTTCTCATAAACAGAACCTCACAGAGTGCTCTTTTGTGTCTGACTTCTTTTGCGTCTGACTTCTTTTGCTCATCACTGTGACTGTGAGGCTGACCCCTGCTGTTGCCTGTAGCAAAGTTCATTAATTTCCGTTGCTGTATTCTCCATTCTACTGGGAATGGGTATTTGGGTTATTTCCACTTTGGGGCTGGTATGAATCCCGTTGCTGTCTAGTCAATTCCAACTCGTAGTGACCCTATAGGACAGAGTAGAAGTGCCCCACAGCGTTTCCAAGAAGTGGCTGGTGGATTCGAACTACAGACCTTTTGGTTAGCAGACCAGCTCTTAACCACTGTGCCACCAGGGCACCTTTAAACAATCTTGTACATGTCATTTACTGCACATACGTACGCATTTCTGTTAGGTAAATTATGAGTGGAATTGCTGGATCACAGAGTATGCATATTTTCAGCTTTAGTAGATACTGTGTAATAGTATTCCAAAGTGATTGTTTAAATTTATATTCTTACCAGCAGTGTACTGAGAGTCCCAGTTGCTCCACATTCTTACCAATACTTGTTTGCCCGTAGTTTTCATGTTACCAGTGCTTTGAGCCACATCATTCCGGTTTGAACCCCTGCTGATAATTTGCATGTCCACTCCAGATATGCTGAATCAGAATCTACTGTTTAACAAGATCCCCTGGTGATTCTTATGTATAATAAATATTGAGAACCACTGCTCTATTAGTGGTTCTCAGAAATGGTCCCTAACCAGCAGCATTAGCATCACCTGGGAACTTGTTACAATTGCAAATTCTTAGCAGGGGTTTGAACCGGAAGGAACCTGTTCAAAGTCCTGCATTTTACCCGTTTTGGTGGATGTGTAGAGTTATCACATGGTAGTTTTAATTTCATTTTCATGATGAGTAATAATGTTGAGCATCTCTTCATCGGCCATTTGCTTATCCCCATTGTAAAGTGTCCAAGTCTTTTGTCCATTTTTCTACTGGGTTTTTTTCTTATGGATTATAGCAGTTGTTTATTTATTCTGGAAATAAGTCTTCTGTCAAATACATGTTTTGCAAATAACTTCTTGAGGAGCTGGATTTCAGCCGGATATAAAGCCACCCCAAAGCTGAATGAATCTCCCCACCACTGGGAGAGTTCAGTGACAGACTGGGTGGCCACCTACTAGGGGCATTGACGAGAGAATCCCTGTAGTGGGATGGATGGGCTAGATAATAGTGTCTGTATATGGATAACATTTTATACATAATCAACTCATTTACACACACCTGACATCTTCTGGCCCTTTATACAATCTGGCAAAATAACACTGACATCTCTACTCATTTTTGCAATTTTTGTTTTTACTTTTTTAAACCTGGCTTCCTAGCCGCTCTCCCCTGTCCAAGTTGTCACAGTTTAGTGTTCAGTCAGTGATTGGTCAGATCTTGTTCTTAAACACTTTGAGCTAGTAAGGCTTTCACCTTTTGCTGATGGATCTGTGTGACGGTTGGGGAACACATTCAAAGTTCAGGCAATTTACACATCTGCTCTGGCTTTTACTTTCTGTATGTACAGGGTCTCACATTCGGCCACGGATGAGCAGGTATCGAGGGCCTGCTCCGGTCTGTCATGAGCATGCATGTAGCTTTATGCCTATGCAGCCTTCCAGACCACCAGAAATCTGTGGGAGCTTATCAAGGCCTAGTATGGCTGTCCTGTTCCCTTGATCACCCCATAAATTTCTGGCTGGTCTGCTTCTCTATTAACTTGCTTTAACCAGTATTATAAGCTCAGCTAGTTGTGATGTTGACCTTCCCTGATTTTTTGCCACCAAGATCCTTATTCTTTTGGACAATACCCAAGGCATGGGTTTTTCCAAATCCTGCTCCAAATCAAGTCAGCACCCTGTGGCAGTGAGGCTGCAGGTCCTCCTGGCCTGCCCTGCCCTGATAAAACTACTGCTCCATTCAACTGAGGCACGGATGGGGGCAGCTCCAGCCCAAAATGCCAGAGACTTCCACTGCTCTTACCAAGGCTTAGTCATTTCTCTTGAATAAATATATGCCTTGGGTTAACTTCCAGAGTACTAAAATTGTTTTTGACGCTGTTTCCAGTTTTATCATTGCTTTTTGGGAGAGGATTTGAGGAGCTCAGCTCCACGAGAGCAAGGAGTTTGTTTTGTTTACTGCTGAAGTTCCAGTATCTACAACAATATCTGTCACATAGTAGGCACTCGGTTAATATTTAATGAATGAACAAGTGGTTAATGAAAGTGGCTGGTAGTCCCAGCTCAGCCTACAAAAATGCCCTGTAATACTATGAATTATGTATGTAAGAGGAAAGAGAGAGAGGCAAGAGGAAATGGGCATAAGGTAGACAGAGAAGAAGAAGTACACCTATTAACAAATGAATAAGAAAGGGAGGCATGGGGGCAAGTCAGGAAAATAGGAAATTTATCCTTCAGATGTATAAGTCTGTGAAATTTAAATAAGGAACAGTCTTATTTGAAGAAAGAAAATTATGCATAATAAGCTATAAAAATTCTGAGGAAAAAAAAAAAGGTTCATCCATGAGTTAAAAGGAACACAAAAGCATATTGTTAAAATATTAAAAGACTGAGAAACACTAGCTGAACATTTATAAAACTACGGTGGAAGCTTATCAGGGCATCCTCGCCTCATGGGATGAATGTTTCGGGCCAGCACTTGATGGTTGGTCAGGATCTCCTGGATCTTGTCCTGGCAAATCTTGTTGGCTGCTATCCCTGCTTCAATCTCTCGGCGCGTCTCTTCCTTCTCAGCTTCCCTGGCCTGCTGCTGGGCGGCTATTTGCATCTGCAGTTGCCTCCTGTACTCCTGGGCTAAACCGCAGCGCCTAAAGTATTAGCAATGTCAGAGTATAAAATTATCAAAGTAAGAATTTGGATTTATACACGGTGTTAAAATTTGAACACAATTTATGAAGTCAAATTAAAATTCCCCTTAAAATAGGGGTGAGTGGGAAAGAAATGGATGAAAAATTCAGTAATATGTTTCTTACACAATAATAATTAAGATAATCTTAGAACAATATTGATTTTAGGGAGGGAATCCATTTTCCCTGCTCATAATATTTACGGCTATATGGAGGGTGTTCTTGGCCTCTCTCCATCGCCCCGCTCACTCCTCTAGATAAGGAAGAAGTGACCTATCTATTGGTAAAATTGGAAAGAACAAATAGGCATGCTCAGTCTAGCTTTTCCCTTTTCCTCTTGGAAGCTGGTCTGCCTGTTTTCCACTCTGCTCTCTATCAAAGGGTCATGCTCCTGCAGAGTGGGCCCGGAGTGATCTGGCACTGCTGGTGACTGGGTGGGTCAGTATGCCATATTCTGTTCAGTCTTAACAAGCTCAATTTCCTGCATATACAAGCCACAATTTTTATATATGAGTCACATTTTTAATACCAGCTTTTATCAGAAATAAAGATGACGGCATGGATAGCCCTCTGTGGCAGACCATAGTTTCCAAACATGGCTGCAGTAATATTTCCATTCCCACACGCTCTTCTGCAACATAAACTTGCTACTCCCTGATCAAGAGGGGAAGCTTATTTCTCTATCCTCTGTAGCCAGATGGGCTCTGTGATTGCTTTTATGACCCATAGAAGACGGCGGAAATGACACTATGCCAGTCCTAGGTATAGCCCTTAACTGGCCTGGCAGTTTCCTCATCTGTTTCTTGGAATGCTTGCTATTGAGACTCTCCCTCTCAGAAACAGCCACCATACTATGAGAAGCCCAAGCCATATGGAGATGCCATGTGTAGGTGTTTCAGCTGATAACACCAGATGAGATCCCTGACTACAGCTGGCATAAACTGCCACCTATATGAATGCGTAGCTTACATATCCAGCCCAGTCAAGCCTTCAGATGAAGGTAGCCCCAGCCAACAACTAACTTCAACCACAAGACAGATGTCAAGCAAGAATCCTTGTCTGCCTATACAATCATGAGATATTTAAGCCACAAATTTTTGAGTGTTTTTTTATGCAGCAATAAGTAACTGCAACATACTTTTTTTCTTATCCTTCAGTTGATTCAGAAGTGGGGCAAGAAAGAAAGGTGCTATTTATTGAGCTACCCTCAAATGTCCAACAATAGACTTTGAACGAGAGGGAGAGGGCAAGGAAATTGGATTACTGGAAATGGAACAACCAGAATGGCAATAATGAGAATGTTCATGCACTGTGAAGAATGTAACCAATATCACTGAACAATTTGTGTAGAAATTGTTGAATGGGAACCTAATCTGCGGTGTAAACTTTTGCCGAAAATACAATAAGATATACATATATATATATATATTTTTTTTTTTTTTAATGAGAAGGAAATGTTTTCCTTTTTTGTAAGGGTGAAGATCTCTAACCTCTAGAGCAGAGGCAGGAGCAGAAAGTTAGTAGGTAGACCAGATATTCTTGTTAGTGCCTCCAAGCTCAGGCACATAAACCATACTCTTTCTAGAAAGAAAAGAGTTTATTTCTATGCACCAAGTATGGGTGATTCAGGGGATGGGCCCAGAGACAGGAGGCGGACCAGCAACTAGAGGAGCCAGGCCCGCATCCTCCACTATACTAGCTGCCTGAGCTGGGTACCATGGCCACCAGTGAGAAGGAACTGCTATGGTCCACAAAAGGCTGCAAGGAGGCATCTGCCCGTTTCTTCCACCTGAGCCTGAAGATGGTGACCTGGCGGACACTAGCTGACCCTAGCCCAAGGGTTTGTCAGAGGAAGACGGTGGTATTTCCCAAAGCACCTAGAGCATTTTAGTTTCCTAGCCCCGTGAGGCTGGAAAAATCCTCTTGGAGACATTTGCATGGAATCCTGTCCCCATAAGCCATTTCTGCTAGTCTAACTAACTAGCCACTCTACTTTACGGGATTTCATTAAAATTCTTATTATTTCATTAGGATTTAGGGTTGGTGCCTATTTTTATATGAAATTTTGTAGACTGCTTTGAACTTCTAGAAAGCAAAGTGTAATATTGATGTAAATTAATGTACATAATGCATGAATTACGGCACACTGCCCTCTCTATATATTAAAAAAAGCTACAAATTTTTTAAGGCAGTGAATAATAATAAAGAAAATAAAACCATACCTTGCAAAATTCTCTTTCTCTTCCCGGTTAAGTTCTCTAAGACCTTCATTTATGCGTTCCTGTTCCATAGCACGTTCTTCCTGCTCTTTTGCTTTTCGCTGCACTAAGGAAGGCAAAAATAATTATCTGCCAAATAATATAACTATTTTAATGTGTGTGTGTGTGTGTGTGTGTGTGTGTGTGTGTGTGTGTGTGTGTGTGTTTTCAGACAAGACTTGCTGGCATCCTTCTGAGCATCAAAGCCATATTGTCTTTAGAAAGGCAGAGCTTAGAATCACTGGGCTAAATCTTAGATAAATCGGGTAGAAGTAATTGTCTCCATTGAGGAAAGACCAGGGTTTAGGCTTATTTATGCTGTGACCTACACAGATTTTCTCTTGTTCTTTTTTTTATTGAAAATCTACAGTCAGCCTTTTTATACCAGATCACCACTGTACTGTTAAAGCACTTCTCACCTTTCCCTTCTTTAGGCTAAATAGCTCTCTTGCCATTCATGTTAATAAAAGAGTTAATTTATTAAGAAATAAGTATTTTAAAAATCAG